CATCTCCTGTAAAGTAGAGAGACGGTCACTCTATAATACTAGATTTCTGAACTCCTTTAAATTCCTCTTCTAATTTCGTTGGCTCTAGACAGCAATTATCGGGAAAACAACTTGGACTGTGTCATAAGTTGACACTGTCAGTAAAAACATTCTTTCTTTCAGATTTTCTGAAAAGAAATTTTTGAGGAGATGATCTTGATTCAAGGAATTAAACTAACCCTCCAATTCTCTGGATCAAATCGGATTTAACTCCCATCAGAATACATGGAAAGTGAAAAGGCATTTTGATTTGCTTTTTATTTGGTTGAGGCAAATAGATAGTTGAGGATCTTGTGGTGTTGTGTAATCCTATTTCCAACTGAGCAACAAATTGAACTGGGAACTAATGAACTCTGTCTCATTATATCTTGAAGAATGAGACACATGTGTAACATCTGAGTGTCTTCACGTGTAGATGTTCCGCCTTGTAGTATAATGTCCTGTGTAATATCTTCTGTAAATGTATAGAACTGTAAAGTTATATATTGTATAATGATAGTAAAACTCACTTCAATATAAATATTAATTTATTAATGCAATAAAAATCACATTCAATTGGTAATTTTCAGGGTAGAGTTATGGTATTTAGACATTGCATCAATATGTATTAATTTTAAAATATATAATTATTCATGGAAGATTTTGGGCAATTTATAAATAATATTTTGAACATAAGTGAGATATAAAAATTATTTTAGACTTAAGTCAGAAATTTACAGGAAGAAGAGTATCAATTAATAAGGAAGGTCTTGCATGTTTACAAACATTTGATTCTATAGGCCTACCTTTTTTGAGTCAGCAAGTTGCAGAATATTACTGGGTACGCCTACCTTAGTGAGAGCGTAACATAAACCAGTCCCAAATGTTATACGAGAAGTCTCGTCCTTGTATACATAAAATTTATATAGTTAATGGATGGTTAATGAGGTTCAGAGCTTGTCAGCTACACGAGGATCACTAAGGCTGCTTGTCAGCTACACGAGGATCATTAAGGATGCTTGTCAGCTACACGAGGATCATTAAGGCTGCTTGTCAGCTACACGAGGATCATTAAGGCTGCTTGTCAACTACACGAGGATCAATAAGGCTGCTTGTCAACTACACGAGGATCATTAAGGCTGCTTGCCAACTTTTCACCACCAGTCAAAAATATATTAATACCTACGTAAGGGATTTACACAATCTGTAGCAAAGTAATCGCTAAGAGACATGCACCTCACAGTGTATATATCCGTACAATTCGTTCGATTTGTAAAGATATTTATGGCTTCTCTCTCTCTCTCTCTCTCTCTCTCTCTCTCTCTCTCTCTCTCTCTCTCTCTGTCTCTCTCTCTCTCTCTTGGGTTAAGGCTTACTAATATATGCTCAACTATTCTTTTATAGAATTATTTTTAATTGGAGGCTTTGTAATTCTCTAAACACACGTTGTTATTTACGCACACACGTGCGTAAATAACAACGAATTTTATACACTTAGCAGATACTTCATTCAGTGCAAGTGGGTAAAAATCAATTCATATTCCTACAATACTTTAATCGTTATACCTTATCAACAGGAGTAAGTTTGGGAAATGCATTCCTGAATAGGTACTGATATAGACTCTCGGGAATAACACAACCACTTGGGAAGTGCGTGTAGTTAAATTTGGAATTTATAGCCAGTGATTCAGTAAAGTTTGGATCTGGTGAATATTCATCCCAAAGGTTTAGTCGAGTACTTCCGATATAGGGCTTCGTACACAGAGTTCCATCCTCCTCCCATCGTCTGATCCACCGATACACCGTGGATATGCTTGCTCCTGATCTGGTGGATATTTCCCGAGCTGGGATTCCACACTGCCACATCAAAATGATCCTCATACGATCAGAGGGTAACACAGCCTTCCTCGTCAGCCGCCTTTCCATGTATGAGAGTCTGCCAAACAAGACCGTAGTGGGTATATAGGAGATTGATTTCAATTTATACCATATCAATATATTAAAAAATGGTATATAGAAAATTTGGAATATTTCGTCTTTAAATGAATGTGCTCCATAGGTTCTCTGATAATTTGGCCAAATACTTTAGAGTAAATACTCTCTGCCGCAGTAAATTATGAAAACGTCATTGCAATGTCAGTAAAGCGAGCAAAGTTTATTGAGTACTTGAAGTATTTCAACCTCGAATAAACATGAGAATCAGTAAACAAGGAAAGTTATCCCTGGAAAACAGGACAAAAATACTTTATGACTTACAACTGTTAAATACTAGGGGAAAGTGGTTCCAACTCGCTCATAACTTACCCTTTCCAAGAACGGGAGGGGCAGTAAACTGCACTAATTATTCCAACTGAAGAATAATGGATAAAATAAGGATATTTAAAAGTATATCTATAAGCGTTAAGAGCCCATGGATTTTCAGCACTTTCCTTTAAAATATAAAATAAATTACGAATCCCCCCCAAAAAAAGAACTTTCTTGAGATTATATTAGCTGGCAAATAATACCGTTCCCGCTGCACTATGAGCGGACATCTTGTCCTTAAAAGAGACATACACCATGAGAAAAGTAACTAACCTTGAACACGATACTGAAGCAGCGATACGAAGTCTCGCCGAGGTGATGGCCAAATAATGCTCGCTCACACACGCTGAGGCATTTTTATAGTAGGCGATCTGGGTCGCTCGGGAGGAGGGAGGAGCATCCAGATGGTCCCTCCCTCTGCTCCAAAAACTCTAGTTCTTTATCCAGATTTATTTATTGAATTTAAGACTACTTGTACATATGAATGTGTGTGTGTGTGTGTGTGTGTGTGTGTGTCTGTGTGTGTGTGTGTGTGTGTGTGTGTGTGTGTGTGTGTGTTATGTGTGTGTGTGTGTGTGTGTGTGTGTGTGTGTGTGTGTGTGTGTGTGTGTGTGTGTGTGTGTGTGTGTGTGTGAGTGTGCGTGTGGGTGTACTCATCTAATTTGTACTCACCTAATTGTGGTTGCAGGGGTCGATACTCAGCTCCTGGCCCCGCCTCTTCACTGACCGCTACTGGGTCCTCCCTCTCCCTGCTCCATGAGCTTCATCATACCTCGTCTTAAAACTATGTATGGTTCCTGCCTCCACTACATCGTTTACCAGACTATTCCACTTCCTAACAACTTTGTGGCTGAAGAACTACTTCCTAACATCACTTTGACTCATCTGAGTCTCCAGCTTCCAATTGTGACTCCTTGTTTCTGTGTCCCATCTCTGGAACATCCTGTCTCTGTACGCCTTGCCTATTCCACGTACTATTTTGTATGTCGTTATCATGTCTCCCCTGACCCTCTTGTCCTCTAGTGTTTGAGGACACTGAAGGACAGGACATTCGTAGGACATTCCCGTTAGCTCTGGAACCAGCCTTGTTGCAAACCTTTGCACTTTCGAAATTTCTTGACGTGTTAGACCAGGTGTGGGTTCCAAACTGGTGCTGCGTACTCCAGTATGGGCCTGACGTACACAGGGTATAGTCTTGAACGATTCCTTACTGAGGTACCGGAACGCTATTGTCAGGTTTGTCAGGCGCCCATATGCCGCATCAGTTATCTGTTTAATGTGTGCTTCTGGCGACGTACTCGGTATTATACTCACCTCTAGATCTTTCTCCTTGAGTGAGGTTTGCAGTCTTTGGCCGCCTAGCCTATACTCTGTCTGCGGTCTTCTTTGCCCTTCTCCGATCTTCATGACTTTACATTTGGCGGGGTTAAATTCTAGGAGCCAGTTGCTGGACCAAGCGTCCAGCCTGTCCAGGTCTCTTTGTAGACCTGTCTGGTCCGCATCTGATTTGATTCTCCTCATTAACTTCACATCATCTGCAAACAATTACACTTCTGAGTCTATCCCTTCTGTCATGCCATTCACATATACCAAGAATAGCACTGGTCCCAGGACTGACCCCTGTGGGACCCCGCTCGTCACAGGTGCCCACTGTGATACCTCATCACGGACCATGACTCGCTGTTGTCTCCCTGTCAGGTATTCTCTGATCCATTGCAGTGCCCTTCCTGTTATACGTGCCTGATCCTCTAGCTTCTATACTAATTTCTTGCGAGGAACTGTGTCGATGGCCTTCTTAGAGTCCAAGAAAATGCAATCAACCCACCCTTCCTTCTCAAGTCTTACTTCAGTTACCTTGTCATAAAACTCTAGTAGGTTTGTGACACAGGGTTTGCCTTCCATGAATCCGTGCTGGCTGTCGTTTATAGCCTTGTTCCGCTCAAGGTGCTCCACCAATCTCCTCCTGATAATCTTCTCCATGACTTTGCATACTATACACGTCAGTGACACTGGTCTATAGTTTAGTGCTTCATTTCTGTCTCCTTTCTTAAATATGGGGACTACATTTGCCATCTTCCATACATCAGGTAATTGCCCAGTTTCAAGGGATGTGTTGAAGATTTTGGTTAGTGGCACACACAGTGTATCTGCTCCCTCTCTAAGGACCCACGGAGAGACGTTGTCCGGTCCCACCGCCTTTGAGGTATCAAGGTCACTTAGGAGCTTCTTCACCTCCTCAGTTGTGTGTATTTCATTCAACACTTGTTGGTATATCCCTTGTTGATGTACTTCCCCTGTTTTGCCTTCCCAGTGTCCCTTCAGCTTCCACTGTAAATATTTCCTGAAATCTCATGTTGAGCTCCTCACTTACTTCTTGGTCATTTCTTGTGAGCTCCCCACCTGCTTTCCTCAGCCTGATTACCTGGTATTTGACTGTTGTCTTCTTTCTGATGTGGCTGTAAAGCAGTTTCGGGTCAGACTTGACTTTCGATGCTATGTCGTTCTCGTACTACCGGTGGGCCTCCCTCCTTATCTGTGCATACTCGTTTCTGGCTCGTCGACTAATCTCTTTATTTTCCTGGGTTCTTTGCTTTCTGTACTTTTTCCATTCTCTAGCGCACTTAGTTTTTGCCTCCCTACACCTTCGGGTAAACCAAGGGCTCGTTCTGGTCTTCCCA